AGAGTTGATCTGTTGCTTCGCGAGCTGGGTTTTGCTGGCAGGGAAGAATCGCTGCATGAACTTCTCTTGCATCTGATCCCAGGAGAAGATTGAATCTGGTGGCAATGTGTAGAGCCATTCTAATGCAGCGTCCATTAGAGAGAATGGAAAAGCCATTAGCATAAGTGACTCATCGGTGACTCCTTGAACCGTCTTCACAGACTGGCATAGCAGTTTGAATCGAGTCAGATGGGGGATTGGATCTTCATTAGGTCTGCCCCTAAATGCCAATGAGCTGAGCATACTGATGAATGTCGGCTGGAATTCAAATTTATTGCGATCGATATCCGGCCGGTGAATGCATGAGAGCTGTTGAGTGTACTTGGGCTGAAGGTATGCCCCATAAGTGTCATTGTCATTCTCGACAGCTAAAGCACGTTCCTCCATCTTCTTATGTTGTTTCTTCTTCTTCCGAATGCGTTTGGCGGATTTCTCGATTTCTGGATCAAAAGGGACTAGGTTGTCAGGCCCAGAACTCCTGGTCATACACCGGGAAACCTCACTGATCCCTCGAATCGAGGAGCATGCATCGCCCGCAGCTCCTTGACGATGGGGAGGTATCTCGCCGCTGCAGCAGGTATCGACGACTGGTGCAAGTCCTCCTCCCTCGGCTCCGGGTCTCTCACCGGGGGTGGTGGTGGTGCGTGGGCAGCCAGGTGCTGCCACATGGTCTCCTCGAACTGCCGAAACTCAGCCCTCCAGCCCCCATCTCCCGGGTTAGGCGGTGGAGCCTGATCGGAAATGTCGTCAGCCCTCACTGCAAGCCTAGCACGTCGTAGCGCCATTTCATTGCACCACATTAAGATAGTTTAGCAACTGATGACCGATACTGGATCATCAATGTACGGATCTCGGACAAGAGGATTTTCTGTTGGTTGTAATGCTCTAGGATGATCCATGATATGACATTTGACTTTGTAATGATTCATTGATTTATGAATGCATTATTTTTCCGTTATACGATCAGCATATTTGTTGTATTTCGGCATCCTTGAATCATTAGAGAATGATTCTAAACTCCCTAGTCAATCATCATTGTGGGAACAATGTTGAATCAAGACTAGCATGAGGTGTGATCAACGCATTGGATGTAGATCACAATCATGAGTACTCGTTGTGAACGAGTGACTGGATGACCCGCATGAGATTGTCACATGGACAGAGTCATGACTTGAATCTCATACAGCGGTTCGTTTATGGATCCTCATACCTGAGATGTCTAGAGTATCTGATATGAGGAGTGGCGTGTCTTGACTGCGTCAAACGTCGTCTTTAACCAGATGATTATAACGGCGTTGATCAGATACGTTCACGAATCATATGGAGATAGTAGACATGCAATATGGGACTTGTCACCTCCTTAACAGGAGAGATATCGCTGGGCCCTCTCGTGGAAGTCGGACTATGAAAACGCGTGGCCACGCTATAGATGAAGTTGCATCTATTTTACTAGTCGATTTGCCAAGACGAGAAAGCAGTTGAACTTGAAGGGTGGCTCAAACCATGCCCTTGTTCAACTTATGATATCGTGAGACAAAGGGTCAGAATTCGAGCTGTTAATGCCTTGGTTAGACCACCTCTGACTCAATTCTAAGTGGGTGGTCATGGCGTCTTGCTAGAGGCTAACCATGACTTGTGGTTCGGGAAAGGTTCCTAAAGTCACTACCACTTAGAATGGGCCTACAGGGTCACACACCAATAGGGATGGACTTATACGTGAAGAATACGAAGAATGGAAACGAGATTTGACCGAAACGAGCACGAAAAGAAGTTTTCAGTGCGTTGGTCCGGAGCTAACCAAGTTTGGTCAGCCCCGGACCAAGTCTGGTCAGATCACGCAGTCCGGAGGAAGCAGTCCGAGGTCGCCTGTCCAGATCTGGTTCGGCTGACCAAGAGTTGGTCAGCCCCGGACCAG